GTCAACCCCGAGCTACAAATTGTGTTGACCGAGGGGGTTGCACAAAAGCATCGAAGTCACAAAAATAGGTAGATCAAGTCCCTTTAATACCTCCAACTTGGCCCCCAGTGTCCAGTTATCCTGAGGTGGAGATCAAATTCTTCCAAAAACAGTCTACAAAGGGAAGAAATGCAGTCCGAACCCAGAGTACAGATAAATTAGATATAAAAAAAACCCAACACAAACCACGCTGAAGTAATTAACACGACAGGCCAGGATAATAAATTGCAGACTTCCACAAGATAACAAAGCACAAACAATTGGGGCGGGGGATGCCAAAACCCAGATAAGCCTCGACAAAGATAATGCACGCTTTGCTTCCAGCAAGGTGCTGTGTGCTTGTTCTTATATCCTGTTCTCCCAGCTGCAGCTAATGAAAGGGATCAAGGCCTTCTTCTCTCCCATAAGCCACGTTGCTCCCTTCTCCATTCTTCCTGGCAACCCCTAGGATGAAGAGGGGGTGGCCCTGGGCCTTCCTCTGAATGCCCAGCTGGACTGTGCCCTTCCCCAGTTTCTTCCACAGCCACTGGCCAGACTCCCACTCCCTGTCAGCTGCTCAATCTCCCCATCAGAATCAGACTCCAACAAGGGCACGACACAAATATTCTCCTTTCTTAGAATCTTAATCATTTACCCATCTACCTAATGAAACTGATAATTTCCAAACAAGCGCTCTCCAAAACTGACCACCGGCTGTTTATCCATTCTGAAAAAAAGAAGAGAGTCTAATCAACCTGGGCTCCCTATTTATTCCCCTACCTCCTTCACCACAGGTAGTCCTCGACTTACAAGCCCAATTGAGCCCAACATTTCTGTGGTTAAGCAAGTTTCGCGCCATTTTTATGCCTTCTCTTGCCACGGTTGTTAAGTGATTCACTGCAGTTGTTAAGTTAGTAACCCGGTGGTTAAGTGGATCTGGCTTCCCCATTCACTGACTTTGCTTGTCAGAAGGTCACAAAAGGGGATCCCATGACTGCAGGACACTGCCACCGTCATAAATAGGAACCAGCTTCTGAATTTTGATCACGTGACCATGAGGATGCTGAAAAGGTCTGGGTCAATATTTATTTATTGACTGGCTGGAGACCCGTGCTTCGCGACAAAACTTTGTGATCGGGCTATGCAGGAGAAATTCGCTTCACAATCCGTTGGTTCAGTGGTGGTCGGTGATTGAAACACATAGGGGCTGCTTTGAGTCCAGAAGCTGTTTCATAGGTGGAAGGCGTAGACATTTTGGTGAGGTACCGACGTTTAGTATTGTAAGGAGCCCCAGGCCGCTCCTGAGTGAGGGAGTGGAACGTCTGCCAGTTTGAACTGAGGTAACGGGATGTGAGGCAACTGGCAGTTGGAACAGAGTTCTTTTCAGGTGGGGAGGGGGGGTAGAACTCCTTAGCATCAGAGCGTGTTAATTGCTGTATTAAGAAATAGTAATGATCTGATGGTCATTTCGAAAATTCCTTTCTTAGCGAGCACCTAGAAGCCAAGAGGAAGATACGCACCAAATTTCAAGTTTGTAAGCTTTACGGTTCTGGAGATTTTGTGATGAGTGAGTGGCACTTGGCTTTTATCTATATATAATATATATAGATTAGCCTTTGGGCTATATCAAAGCGCAGAATACCAGAAATAAATCAGGCAAAAGTCATAACTGCAAAAAAACAGCCGTAAGCCCCACTTTTCAGTGCCGCGGTTGAACGACCGCCGAACAAACTGTTATAAGTCAAGAACTACCCATATTCCCTATTTCTCAAGGATGGGCTTTCAGGGCTGAGCTTCAACGTTCAACCGCCTTCCTCGGGAGGAAAAGAAGGTGGAAGGTGGTGGCTTCTCCTGTCCCCTTTCCCCGAGAATGAAGGAGCCTTCATTGCCGTTGGCATCGTGAGCGTTTGTCTTAAAACCAGTGAGGTAATCCAAGGGAATTCAAGAAGTGGGTGGTCTCTGCGGATTGGAGGTGCTCTCTCATCGCCCTGTTCATCTCTCGCCCAGGCCCAAACCAGATCTTGCAGCTGGAGCAAAGGCAGGCCAGACTGAGCCCAGCACATTCCCCCCCCCCCCGCCACCTATCTCACTTGAGTGGCCTTCTTTGGTTGCTTTTCAACTGCCCACTTTCTATCGGCTTCATTACACCACCGCTCCGTTTTGTCATGTAAATGGGGAAACTCGGGAGGAGGGGAGGTGGGGAGGGGAGGAAGAGAAGTTTTTCTTTTGGCCTTGTCTACGGAAGAATACCGAGAGGTATTCAAAACGTATTAACACAAATCAATGGCACCAATAAAAGCAAGATCTCCTTAGCAACATAATCTTGATTGCAAAGAGAGAACTGAGAGCATTTAGCAGAACAGTGGTCCACACGGAATACGCATTTGTCTGGAAGAATGTGGCACAAAGCCTAAATAGAGAGAGAGAGAGATGCTGGAAGAGGAGAAAAAAAATCCAAAATTAACTCACACCGAACAGTTACTCTTTTTTTTTTTTTTAAGAAGCGCACAATTGGCTACATTAAATCTATCCTGGGCCTTTCTGCTCAGCAACATTGTATCGTACTGCTTTGCAAACTGAAAATTTACAACACCCTGCGCGGTTCAGGGTAGCTCCGGGTGTTTTTTTTTTTTTAATTATACATATAAAGAGACTGTTAGCCAGTTGTTGTTTTTAAAAGGACATCTAAAGACCCTCTAAAAATAGAAAGATGCACACAGAGTTTAATGCCAGAATTTGGAAATGCTGAAAAGAAGTTAATTTCAGATGCTCTTGGACTTCTTCTAAGAAGAGATCCCCGTGTTTAAAAATATTCAAAGATCTAAAGTTATAGATAGTAACCAGCGGTAAAGCTGTTGTTGACGCTTATGTTGGATCACACACTTCACCTTTTCTAGCTCGGAAAACAGAATTTGGCAAACTCTCACTTATGAATTAATTTCACCTTTCTTCAAAAAAAAAAATTCCGCTCAATTTTCCTAAATATTATATTGTGGCTTTTTGATTATTTTTTTTAACCCTTTAAAAAAAAAAGTTTCAACTTTTAAAAGCGATTTTAATGTCTCTCTGCTTCCCATCAATTGTATTCTAAAAGTCTTGGCAGAGGCATTCCATTCATATTCAGAGATCCTTCGTTGTCAAAAAAAAACACAAAACCTTCCATTTTTCCAAACAGGATGGGGCAGCATGTGATGAAATCTATGCTTAAAAAAAAGAACAGGAAGCTAAATGGCACTTAGGAAAATGAAGAAGTTTTCTTTTTAAAAAAACAACACTTTACTCTCAAGCTACCCAATAAAAATATATTTCTTTGAATTTTTAACATATGCCCCCAACACATTTTTAAAATTTAAGATACTCTCATAGCCTTGCAGTATTAATGTGCCTTTAAATTTAGTTCCATTAATCTGCCTTAAACTTAGTTCCATACCATTATGTACAGCTAACTATGAGATAAGGGAATCCTCGGTGTATCTACTCAAAATAATCGCCCCTGAATTCAGCCAGGCACAGCCTGCCATTCCAAGTCGGTGAGGTATCTTTCTACCAGGAAAGGACCACAGCACGGTGGTAGAGTCTCTAATTTAATTTTGGGCATCTCATTAAGATTGGGAAGCCATGCAGAGCTCCAGCCAGACTATACCGAATTATCTGGACTAAAGGCTTAGCTGAGTAGAAGGAAGCTTCCTATGTGCTAAAGAATAAAACTGTCGATTAAAAGCATTCTGGTGAAATCATGCAAAGTTCATTCAGTTAGGAAAGGAAAACAAGTCTTTGTAAGATAGCTTCACAATTTTATTCCTTTGTAACACATACAGTTTTTCTCTAGAGAGATTTCGGACTGGAATACATTATTTAAGGCTGGGTCAGGATGGGAAAAGATGTCTGATAAAGAGACAAAGTTATGAAGTGTTGGCGAGTGGATAAACTTAAAAACAACCATAATCAGATTGGTTTTAAAGTGTATTTTGTGCATTTTAAAAATCCGCCCTATTAATCGTTCTTTCCATGTCTTTGAATATACACACATTATCAGATACATGTTTTAAAGTACTTTAAAAGCATCCCCCTCTCCCCACAGGAGAAAGGTGATTAACCAATGCTCTTATTTTATTAAGACATCCAATTTTATCAGACTTCTATATAAGCTATAAATAAAAATGTATTTCACTAACACTTATTCACCTGCTATTTTTTATGTGAAGCTTTTTATTGGCAAGGGAGAGGTGTCATTATTTCATATTAATGCTCTAAAATATATTAGAATATTATGATTAATTCCAGATTGAAATGATTTTCCACAAACAGTCAAATATGCCGTTTATCACTCATTTAGAAACATCAACAGGGACATACAACGATGACAATCGAGAAGGCCACAAGTGTAGAGCTCCCATTAGCTGGGTAAGAAAAGGCGAAACGGCATGGCTGAGGTCCAGAAAGAAACACTACCACCACACACAAACACACACACACACACACACACTCTTTAGGCATGCCCAAGGGCATTCATATGCCCTCATTTAAAAAGTCCTCTTTGAATAGACCACCATACAAGATGAGAAATGGGTTTTTGAAATTCTATTTCCAAAGTGTTTGCCATTTTGCACGAGATGGGAAGCTACTCTTGAACTGGCAAGTTGGATTCTTTGAGAGTACTTTATAATGAAATGAGAAGAACGAAGAAACCTGAAAAAATGAAGGGCTTACTGAATTGCACTTAAAATCCAACTTTAATCGACCTAAAGGCTTGATAAGTCGATTCGGTGTTGGTTTATTCAGAAAGAAGTCCCGCAGTGGACTGCTCCTCTACTAAATGTACTTTAAAAAAAAATGTTATCATAGTAGATAACTGTTAATACTCCTGCCTTCAGGAATTATGCACCAATATTCCAATGAAGGTCTTAAAATAGAAAGCCCTTTCCTAATTTATCCTTGTGCTACCAAGATTTTCTTACTTCTGTTTATCCCCACTCCAAGACATGCAGAATTAAAGGGCATGCTTTCATGTGGAAATATGAAGAGGCAAAAGAGCAGAAGGCCTGGACAACTGACCAGGCCCCGATGGTTGGGTGGGAAATTTAATCGTGTAACAGCTGGATTTCCCAACCTGATGTCTTTCACAAAGGTTACAATATGCAGGTCTGTTGAGGAAGGCTACCTTGCCCTTTGATTCTTTGATGGAGGAGAGGTAGCGGAAAACAGCTTCTAGTATAATTTCTCATTCAGTTTCTGCTACAGGAACTGAGCTACAGGAACTGACATATCTAAGGATTAAACTATTTGATTCCGGTTTACCTGTTGATAGCGGTGTGTGTGTGTGTGTGTGTGTGTGAGAGAGAGAGAGAGAGAGAGAGAGGGGTGGGGGGAGAGAGAGAGAGAGAGAGAGAGAATACAGTAGTTCCAATTCATATAGCATTTGCAACAAGTCCCAAAATTTCCTTTTCATGAGGCAACTGGGCTTTTTCTTTGAAGTCACTTCACTTCTCATCCAAGAAACTTCTTCAGCTCTGACTATAACCTGGATGACTGAGAATCTCCAAATATAACGGAAGGACAGACACGATTGGGCCATGGGAATTCTGACCTCAGCAATGACCATTATGTCAAGCCCAGGTAGTCAACAGCATTTTTCCAGCCCAATAAACCCATTTAAAGTAATCTTACGACATTTCAGCGTTTTCCTTTATTTGGCCAGAATTGGTGTTGTGCCTTCAGAATCTAGCAGTGCCAAACCAAAACTTCCTTGTCTAGAGAATTCTGTATAAATTAGTTTCACTACAACCTTAGGATACGAAGGTCTATAATGACCAGGAAGAAAATTATAATGTGGCAAGACCTGAAACTGTATGCTAAGAAACAGTTTTCAGCTGTACTGCATTTTTTTTGGCCATATGACAAAAGTAATATAATTCATCAAAGGATGCTGGTGAAACTTGATATACAATCTTCTCAAAATGGTTAAGAGCTATGGTCCCACAAATCTAGATGTCAAGCCAAAAGCCATATTGTGAAAAAGATCTTTTATAGACACATACACTTTAACAGGCTAGGAATGTATCTTAATATGATTTTAAAGGCATGTGATGTTTAACTATATAACAATTGAGGAATTAATCAAGCACTATACAAGGCAATTCCAGAGAAATCTTCAAAGGACATTCTGTCAGTGTATTTGACAAAAGTATTAAAGCTGTATCGTTGTTTAAAGGTACATTTGAAATATGAGGTTAGCCAATGCAGTTACATACCACGGTAGCCAAATTAGCCAATGCAGTTACATATCACGGTACTGAGAAATGAAGAATTACTCCAATGTTTTTAAAATGTTACTTACTACCTCCTTTATATAGACAAGGCAATTTTATTCAAAACGTTACTTTTTTTTTTAGTGGAACATGCTCTTAGATTTCCTATCTAAGAGGAGCAATCTGAACAGCATTTAAAATTATTTTGGAAAGATGGACAGCTTACATTTTTTAAAAAAACTAAAAGCGGATCGTGTGTATAATGTAAAAGTTTGTTCATCTATTTGTTCATGTAGCATTTGATCAACATTTTGTGTGTAGGTCTGTATATCATAGATTTCATGGTGCAGAATGGCATTCAGTCTCTGGACCAAATCAGTAGTTAGTGGACAAGAAATTTAAGGAAATACACATACACACATACATGCACACACACAAATGCTTGATTAGGCAGAGTTGTAATTTTCTTAATCCTCATAAGAGGTTTTGATTTTCTTTATTAGCTGTCCAAATGGTTAGGGTTACATTACAGTCTTATGCTTACTAAACATGTTCAAGACTGCTTACTCTTTAGTAAGGTTAACCTTGGTACGTGTATAGCCTTAAAACAATTTTTTAATGATGATTTTATAAAGAACATATGCTAAATGCAGACCTGCATAATTATAAAACAGTTTCATTTTAAGGATTCAATTTTAAGGATTTAAGTATCAATTCCTTATACTGGCCCATCAAGGATCCAGTGTAACACTTTTTCCTTACTTGTCTTATATCACAAAACAAGGGTACTGACAAGTATTTAGTGGGTTTCCTGCCACTGTTAGTACCTTAAGGTACATCTGCTTCAGAGGAAAATTACATACAAGCAGGGAGAGCATCAAATAATGTGCATATCGAAAGGCATGTAACCATAGCATTATTTTAAAGGAGCAATGTAAATGCAACATAATATTTTGAGGACCAACTGTAATTCTGTTACACTCATAAGTGACTAAATGTGAACTCACTCTGGAAGTTCTCTCTGTGGATGCAAGATTTACACAGTAATATTATACTTTTTCTTGCTTCATTAGTCTTCATACTTCCAACATTTTTATTAGAAGCTTTAATATTCATTTTCTACTGCCATGTGAGATGTAAATCTGTTATCTAATACATAGTCATGCATGAATAAATTAGCAATTTCCTAAGTTTTGTGCTTGCAACTCAAGTAAATCCAACCCAGCCCTCCCCCTCACCCCCATATTTTCTTTAAAAATCCAGTACATAGAAAAGACATGGTGGTAAATGTATATAAAGCAACCCAAATCAAAGGAGTGGACATGCTTATTTAAAAATTTGCCAAATTAGCATAGTTGTACAAACAGTTCAGGTAAAGTTCAGGTAAATCATTATTATGGAAAAGTTCTACTTATTAGACCAGTTTTAAAAAGCAAGACTTCACAGGGTCACAGATTTGTGTGTGTGTGTGTGTGTGTGTGTGTGTGTGTGTCATGTCATTCTGACTCCTTTCTCTCAGGTGGTTCAATGAAGAGATCACTCATAGTGATAATTATGGGGCTGCACCCACCATCCAACAGATTACCTGAGCTAGCTCGGACATAATATTTAATTAAGAGAGAAATATAATATTGGAGCAGTCCTCATTTCATTAGTGTCTTTGTAGCCCTAATGATAGTTGCAAAGCTATCCATGTAAAGTTCGGACTGACAAAAACTTTTGAGGAAGAAAATATTTATAAGCCAAGTTTTTCTAATTTAACAAATCAAACGATCAACCTACTCAGCGGTTATATCCATATACAGCAGCGCTAGCATGCAGGCCAAGCTTCTTGCACATGCAAGAAATTGCCAATAACTTTCCCCAGGAAAACTAAATAATGCAAAACGGATCCTTAGAAAGAGGCTCTACCTTCACAGAAGTAGAGAGAGAGACCTAAGAAGCTAAGGGTTAATAGCAATTTTCTCTCCACTTTAGGGACAGAGGTGAATTTTACATCTTGTGTACTTAAGACTCCACGCCAATTACACAGAGATATAAGGACAATAAGCCCATTCAAATCAATAAGCACACTGTGTTGGAAAACAGCCCAAGCTTTCATTATTAATATTTATGTTCTAAGACATTATGGAAATTTCACAGAAGAGGAGAAAATGTGTTATGGTTTCTTTTGTTAAGAAAAAAAAGTAGATCATGAATGATAGGAGATAGTTTTGGAATACCTGACTAACACTACATACATATTTTAAAGTTCTTTCATAGGCTGCATTCATGTATCGTAATCAACCACAGGATAATCTTAGTATGATTTTTTTTTTAAAAAAATCAAATTAGCATCAGTTTTGCAGATGGGCAAAGTAATTTTAGCTTTGGGCAAATTTAACTTGTTTTCCTTCTTTTTGGTTACCCTTCTTTCTGAGGCCCAGTTAAAGTGGTAGGGCACAGAATCAAAGCAGAAGTGAACTGGGAAACAATCCAGCCCATACATATCTGTTCATTTTCCACATTAGCTCAAACCATAGTTTGAATACCCTAAAATAAACCATGATTTCATTCACGCAACACGTTGCTTAGCCCCAAACAAGCGAACTGTATCATGGCTTAAAATAAGAAGGAAACAAATCATTTAAAAATGAGTCCAGATACATATTTAGAGCAAAGTACAACGCATGCCATCTAATCAAAGCTAGTTGTATTGTTTTATGATAGAAGGGCCCTGGCATATGCTCCACTGGTCTCCTTTTGAGATTCTGAGATTCAGAAATGCCAGACTCTGGATGAACCACAACAAGATTAGCCAATGAAAGCCAGTATAGGGTGTGATATGCAAGCAGAGTTTTAACCTGTCACAAAGTATATCCTCAAAATATATTAGCAATCTGCTATGAGTAGCAAACATTGGCAAATACACAATAAACGTATCTGTATATGACAATAAAGCAAAACACATATTTAAATGAAAAGAACTGATATTCATGTAGTGGGATAAATATTTCATTAATACAAATATTATGCAAATTGTATTCGTTGGCTATTCACATTATTGCTCTGCTACATGAAGAACAGCCCCTTAAAATATGTTATATTTCACCTACATTAAAATCTAGAAACAAAATGTTTCAGAAATAACTGCATACAACAGGCATTGAACTTAATACATGAAGATATGCACAGCCAAGGAGCTAAAAACTGGCCTGACCAAAGCATATTATTACATACTCATATTTTTTAAATGTTTCCTTGTGCAAACAATAAAACAGAAAGCTAACCATGTAAACATAAAATTTAAAAGTTAGAATGCAGTATTTACTCCAGACATTCAGTAAACTATTAATTCAAATAATCATTTTTTTAAAATTCATCCACCTGAAATACAGATGTAAAAACCAAGACATTTACGACACATCGCTAGCATCTGGTACAAATGCTGTTAATGTTTTACGCACAAAGGCCCCAACCCGAGGGAAAGCTTCAAAATAAAGGAGAATATTGTTGGCACTTCAGTCCTCATGAAAGAAATAGAAATTGAGAGCATCAGAAACCAATAGACTAGGCCCAATGATTTTAATGGGATTTAAATACAGCTTTCCGTGGGTTGGAGCCAAACACTGGAACATTCAATAACTCAAAACTACTGAAAATATTAACAAACATGTTTCTGCCCATCTTGCATCCTCATGTACTATTCAGTTGGGTAAACAGTAAGAAAGCTGTTACATGGCATGAACCACAATGCACGCTGGCTTGCACACATATTCACTCTCCCCTCTCTCACAAGCACCCACACAAACACATACGGAGTTGGTATAAACAAAACATCACTTTATTTTTTTTTTGTTTTCACCATGATTAAGAGATTAGGAGTAGAACCCTGAGTTATCTTCAGTCACTTCGAATCTCTTAGCCACAGGAAGATTATCTACCGTGGTCCATGCAGCAGCCTTCTTAGGAAATACCAGTCAATTTTACAGTCCTGAGCAGGATTAGCCATTAAAGACACCTGCAAATCTGCGACCGGAGTCTTCTCGTGGAGAAACAGCAATCCGTGTTCAAGTTTCTGGAGGAGGAACATCTTCTGAGCAG